AAATCTTTTCTCAAGCCAGAAAGCTAATATTATGGGTCGCGATTTTTCGCAGATATCATTCATTATTTTGAATAGTTGACAGTCATGTTTTGTAAATTCAACACAGGTAACTTTAATTTTCTGCTCAATTCGATCGGAAATAATTAGTTCATTTTTTTTTGAGGATGCATGAAACTGATTGATACTTTTTTGAGTGTTGCAAACTGTCGTTTTTCTTTTTTTATTTTGACAACTACGCATATACTTAGATAGTGAATCAGTAATAAAATTTAATTAATTAATGCGTACATGTTCACGTCGATGACATAGAATACATTTTTGTATGATCTTGTTCTCATAAGTACAACTAAGACTACTCTATAAAGCTGAAGATTTTGATTGTATTGTTGATTTGGCGATTTTCAATAACAAATTTTGTTTATCAGTTAACTGTTCAATTTAATTTATTATGTATCGAATGATGAGAATAGTAAAGAACAAAAATTAACTGTACGGGAACTTTTTTTTTCGAGAATATTCAATAAGTCGTTAAAACATTGATTCTTCACTTGGTTATGTGCACAGCAGAGATGTTCATCGCGGCTGAAAATCTGCCGCTGCCGCGCCGCGGCCTTAGAAAAAAAAGCTGCCGCACCGCAGCCGCGCCGCGACGGTTTATAAAAAAATGTTGCCGCGGCGCTGCCGCACCGCGATGACTTATCAAAAAAACGTTGCCGTGCCGCTGCCGCGATGAATTATAAAATAAACGTGCCGCCGCCGCGGCGGTTTACAAAAAAGTGTTTCTAATTTCACTGCTGCGACTATATTTGACTAGAGATATTGGTACTAGTCCATCAGATTCATTCAGTCTCGGGATGTTTCATTTGTAAACCCTGAAATTCTATTAAATTCATGCAGTTTTTCAATGTTCCCCAAAAAAATCCAGCCGCTGCCGCGATGATTTTTTAAAAAACCTGCCGCTGCCGCCACCGCCATCGCGGCAGCGGCAGCGGCAGCGCCGCGATGGACATCTCTGGTGCACAGAGACTATACGATATTGGTGAAGAAAAATACGAATCTAGATTTGTCAGATACAAATCCACCAAAATGTGAATCTACAGCTCTCTAATATGTATACTTGCATGATTCAATCATATTATATAATGAAAAATATAAAAATCAGAAATTATCTTGTTTTTTTATTTTATTTCGAATGTGAAGAAGTATATTTCTTTTCATTGACACATTGAAGAAAAGCTAAAGCTCTTAAAAGACATTGAGCCATTGGTTCTCTTTGTCCTTTTATTGTTTGATGATAATTTATTTTTAATTGATGATCTATATCCAATGATATCATTTTATTATTTTCTATATTATTAAATATAAGATTGGTAAGAAAAAATTCTGCACTTGATTGTTCATTACCAATAAATAATCCAAAATGTAAAGCAATATCTCTTCCTGATATATGATAAACTGAATGTTTTGATAATAAATGACAATGAAGTATTGTATTAAATATAGCACGAATTTGTTGTAATTGTGAAACATATGTAGCTATTTTAATATTTGGATAACGATATGTTGTTTGTTCAACAAGAAGAACATTGACATCTTTTAATGGAATTTTTGAAAGACTATCAGATAACTTAAATATTTAAAAATAAAAAACAATCAATGAAAGTAAAATCAACAAACTTGATTAAAAGTATTAATAAAATTATATTTTCTATTAAGATTAACTTCTAATGTATTCCATTGTTTGACTTGAAAATGATTTTTATTATTTGTTGTTTTTACAATAGACCAATTGATATGTGATGATGTATAATCGAGACTACAGACACTTTCAATATCCTATAGAAATCCAATTTTATTTGTTCTTTCTTGAGAAAATTCATTTACGGCGACAATTTTTGATGTTAGACGAGGTTCAATATGAATTCGATGTTGTTGATTATTATTTCGATTTTTCAATAATAATAAATAATCAAAGAATTTATTAACTTAAATTATAAAAAAAAAAGTATGAAAATGTTTATAATTTACTTGTTAAATATTTACAATCAATTTGAAATTTTGATTCATTTTTAAATTGTTCTAAAGAATGAAATTTTCCGCCTAATGTACGTTTTAATTGACGAAAATTTTCTATTTGTTCTTCATTAAATATTTTTAATAAATCTTTTGTTTTTATTTTATTAAGTTCATCAATTAAATTGTTTTCTGTTGATTTTAATCGAAATAAAGAATAATATTTTATTCTTGGAACTAATAAACGTATAAATAACATCACAAAAAAGCAAATAAAATCTGCAAACGAAAAAAAAAAACAAGGAGTTTTATTTCTGTTTTTTTTTTTTTCGAAATCAGATACATAACAAAAAACTAATCCGTTGAATTTTTTTTTTTCAAAACAAAACAAAAAAAGAATAAATATGAAATAATAATAACAACAAACAAATAAAGTTTTTACTCAATTATTTTAAGAACTTTACCAACTGCAACTGTACGACCTTCATCACGTAATGTAAATCGACCAAGTTGAGGAAAACGTTTAAATGGTTCCATACAAATTACTTGACTTGCTTGAGATAATTCAAATCGTGCTATTGCAACTTGATCTTGTTTAATAAAACGTGGATGTTCTTGAGTTCTGTCACCTGTTTTACGATCGATTAATGTTATTAATTTTCTTAATTGAACTTCAACAGCTGCTGCATGAATATGAAGAACAGCTGAATAACCAGGACATATTATTGATTTATGTTCAATTATAGCCACCTATTTTAGAAATAAAACTTATTAATTCACAAGTATTTTTGTAGTAAAAGCAAATTTTGTCATTCCAATAAGTACGCTATTACTTTGTCTAAAACATTCTATTTCTGACTTTATGTAAATCTTGATATTATTAATGATTCAAAAATGTATGAATGATTTGTAACAAAAACTCAATAATTTTGTCAAACGATCGATAATAAATATTTTATTGAAATTAGTCTATGATTTACTTTTCAACGTGTCGAACAAACAGTCAAAATAATGAAATAATTTTCTCAGAAACTTCTATGTGGTAACCGATCGTAGAAATGACCGATGATTTGATTTGTCTTGGAAATAAAATGCTATAGCTCGGTTACGATACGAATAAAATAATGCAAGCATCTCTAATGTTACCTTAAAACCAGAGATGTCCATCGCGGCGCTGCCGCTGCCGCCGTGGCAGTGGCGGCGCGACAGCGGCAGATTTTTTCCAAAAACTATCGCGGCGCGGGAGAGATTTTTATTTTGCCGTCGCGGCAGCGGGAGCTTTTTAGGAAAAAATTTCAAAAATTCATGAATTTGCACAGAATCTGCATGTTTATGTATGCTATACTGTAAGACTTAGCGAATCTGATCGATTAGCGGCATCAGTTCTATTTCAAACCAGTCAAAGCCTTGAAAATCAAAACATTTTCTCGAATACCACCGCGGCAGCGGCGCGGTAGCGGCAAGTTTTTTTTTAAGGCGCGTCGCGGTACCTTTTTTTAACAGGCCATCGCGTCGCGGGAGCAGCAGATTTTGAGCCGCGATGGACATCTCTGCTTAAAACATGTGAGTCATGAGATTGTCTTTCTCATTGATATCAGTTCGAGTATTCCGGTAACTTTTTTTCTAGTAATTCTAATCATACTATAACAAAAGTAATTTAGCTCATCTATCATACCATTTATTTCATATTTGTTTTTGCGTCTCATAACAAAATCTCTTTTTTGAAACACAAAAAAAGTTATTCATTCTGTTACTTACTTGTGCATCGAAGACTCTTCCAACACCACATGGTTCTTGTTCAGTATCACATAAAATAAATCCAGTTGAAA